ACAGGGCACAAGCAATCAGCAAGCACGAGATACTTACAATTACAACACTCACACACAAGCTTAGCGCGCCTAATCGAGGACACCTCTGAACCCTAAAACGTGAAGCTGTGGTTTGAGGCCGGAGAGCTAAGGATTTTCATTCACGATTCAAAGGTCCAGGGAGGGCTGGGTCCTTCCAGGGACGCATACGTCAGACTTGCGCGGAGCTTTCGCGCAGAACTTTCGCTAGTTCTTTCGCTACATTTTGCTTTTACAAAACGGATTCTTAAACTTTCGCCAAAAAACAACTTCCTTTCGCGCGTCAACTCGCGAATCTTTCGCGGACTTCGCGGACGCTTACGTGTCATAGAAACGTAGAATTTGTGAAATTAAAACGCCCAGTTGTGGGCGCAGGTTGTTTACACAGATGTCACGCAGGTTGTTTATGCAGTGTGTGGGCACAGATAGTTGATGGCTCCCAAAGAATAAGTTCCCGAGTGACCGCGCCGGTTTTTGAGGCCCTTGAAGCCCCTCAAAAGACTCAAGAGACTCCAGATGGCTTTCAAAGAATAAGTTCCCGAATGACCGCACCGCCTGAAGCCCCTCAAAAGACTCAGGAGACTCAAGATGGCTCCCAAAGAACAAGTTCCCGACTGACCGCGCCTGTTTTTGAGGCCCCTGAAGCCCATCAAAAAACTCAAGAGACTCAAGATGGCTCTTAAAGAACAAGTTCCCGAATGACCGCGCCTGTTTTTCAGGCCCCTGAAGCCCCTCAAAAGACTCAAGAGACTCGAGATGGCTGTGTTGGAGGCCCCTGAAGCCCCTCAAAAAAGACCCAAGAGACTCAAGATGGAATAAGTTCCCGAATGACCGCCCCTGTTTTTGAGGCCGACTGTTTGGAGGGGGGTTGGGTGGGTTGGGGGGGTGGGGGGTTGGGGGGGGGGGTGGTGGGGGGTGGGGGCTGGGGCGTGGGGGGTGTTGGGGATAATGCCCAATGTTTTCCTCTCTTTGCGCAACATACTGCGCAAGGATGTGGAACAAGACATGCTGTCACAAGCGTCCATGCCTTGTATTTACAGCATTTTCACCTCTTTGTACAACATTGCGCTGCGCAAGGATGTGGAACAAGGTACAGGCACCACTCCCCAACGTGCTGTGCTCCATGACTCAGCACAGCTAGAGGACACGTCTTCGGTGGCATTGACGCACGTCCAAAGAGACGTCGCAATGCAGCAATTGTGACTCAACCGATCTGCAGAAAGAAACAATGTGCTCCATCTCTCCCGATGTTAGTGTTTCATTCTCGTTTTTCAGGTAGCTTTTCCCCGATTTTCGTCTTGAAATCCCCAACAGTTGCGAAAACACTAGCAGGCGTGGGGCTTCTTCGCGCCGTGTACCCTGTAGTTGGCCAAGCTGAGATCCAGGCCACTCGACTTGAACCTGGCCACTGCTCACTGCTGGGGCAAGCTTCCAGGCATGTCACGTCTGCGGCTCCACAAAAATCAATGAAGATGCTGTGGTGAAGTTTGATTCAAACCACGCATACACGAGATGTAGCTCGTCCGACACTGATCACATGCAAGTGTTCTCTAGCCACGAAGGGAAGCAAGTTCCCACAGGGGACCCTGCCCCTAACGTAAACTCAAGAGCGCCATCGTCCCCGGCCTTCTTGGCCGTCTGCAAGTCACGCTTGCGCAGCTGCAGCAACACCATCTGCGCGCAAGTACTCTTAACAGACGGAATCCGGGTCATCCAGGACGTTTGCCCATGAAAAGCATGACACAAGACTTTAACCTTTGCTAGATACTATCGCCTTTTTGGGGTGCAACAGTCTGGGTCCCAGACCAGTCGGCATCTTTGGCCGAATGATAGCGACGGCAGCGCCGCATGAAAGCGACTCCTGGGCCGTCGGCCAGTGAGTTCGACAGCGAACACAAGAAACATGGCTGATAAGGATAGGTCTTGTAAGATTTTCTTGGTCGTAATGATTGCTCGGATGCCCGGCAAGGAGAACCCGGCTTGAATGTGGTGGCAAAGCAGGGTTCCTCCACCACGAAACGGCACATGGCGCCATGAATTTCAACCTGCGTGCAAGTTTGGAGGGCCGTACACTCCACCCTTTCAGGAGGAGAAACGGCCGCATCGGCGGTGGAAAAATCTTCAAATGCCGCCCCACACTGCTCGCTGAGCCGCCGGCCGCGCCCCACTTCTTTGATGACTCCACGGCGTCAGCCGAAAATGCGCAAGATCCAGGGTCTGGCCCCAGAACCAGAGCCAGGCCCCGAACGTCAAAGCAATGGAGGCTGGGATCACCCAAACGCGGAATCCTGGCCTTGGGTACGGAATCATAGTCGCTGGCACTAGGTCGGCCTGTTCCACAGGCAGCAACGCAGCGCGTTGATTCATCATTCCGCCCCAAGAAAAGTTGTACGTTGCGACCAGAATCCGCGTGGCGGGCCGGTCAAACGACGTGAGCCAAAATGGCAACGGCAGTGTATAAGAGGTCTCTCTCTCTCTCTCCCTCTCTTGCTCTCTGCCATGCCATCCCAAAGCATATAAGAATGGCAAAACCGTCGGGGGATGTGCGTTATCGGATTCTCGCCTTGCAACGCTCGGTGAAACACGCTCCCTGTGGGGTATGGATTTGACTGAGCTGGTCGGCACGGACTCACATACTTGCACCGCTGGACCTTTCCTGGACAACAGGGTATAACAGGGTGGTAGTCTACCTCGCTATTCAGTGTGGCCTATTCTGGTCAGGGCTGGACTGGCAACAACATTAAGAACCATCAGTGGCCATCTTAGGCCAGCCCTGAGGTCGTGGAAGGGAATGCCCTTCTGCAATTCCAACCTGTGTCTCATTTGTTTTTCCTGCTCTTTGTTTCGGCCCACATGGTACACATCTCCCCCCTGGTGGTGAGTTCGGGGGAGCTCTGCCAAAACTTGCAATTGAAGCAAATCATGCCGGCTTGAGCTCCAAGTGGACGGGCGCCTTGACCATTACCACGCCGCTCCCCTCCACATTCAAACAAAGTGCCGGACACCCTAAACCCCAGTTTCAACACTGAAGCATCCGTCATGCCAGCAGTAAAATAACTGAAAGACGATCTCGGCGCCGGCAAGGGATTCGGAATCTTCTTGCCGTAAGCACGCGAAGCCCAGATCCGATCCAGGGCCGCTCCTTTCTTCCAGAGAGACTAGAGAAACAACTGCAGAAAGAGAAGGAAAACAGACAAAGCGCGCAAAAAAGAGTAAAAAAAGCAGGTCTTCAAAAAACACATGTGTTTGTGTTGGCTGAAGAAGGCTCCATTCGCCGTCTTGCACTGGCCACGCACTTCCTTCCAGTGAGCCAAGGGGTTCTGGACATAAGATGACATAAGTCTAGGAGGGCTCCGAGGAATTTGAAGGTTTCGGTAAACTTCCCGGTGAGGTTCATGCTTGTTTTCGGGTCTTCAATGATCTTTAACAAAATAACAAAGATGCCCATATCCGGTTGGTTGTCATTTGGGACATGCAGAGGCTTTGCATGACGTCGCCCCTCTGATTTAAATAATATCTTAAAAACTCGCCTCCTGCAGCAGGAAATTGGCATTCTGGTCCGGATTCCAACCGCCGTGCACTTCACAGACTTGGATCCGCACCGAGCCATCGTTCATTGGCGGGACCCGCAATGTGTCAATTCTAAATGCAAGGGTGCCACAATAGTCAGTGACCACACCATGATCCAGATCATGAAGCCCCACGAAAGCCAAGTCCACATCCAGATAACAAGGTCCTCTGAATGTGGTCGGCAACACCATCAGTGGGGCCTCGTAGCAACAACTCAGGGCGTTGGCGTCAGACGTGGTGATGGGGTCAGGCAGTTGTCCTATCAGTGGTGCACCGGATGGAGCCCGATAACGAGATTCCTCCATTTCACGCCTCCATCGCCGCTCCCGCCACCCATGCTTCACAGGCATCTCCTGACTCTCCTCAGACTCAGGGCGCACGGGTTCTGAGCTGTGTGTGCCCATCACGTCTCGCCCTTGGTGCTCAGCTCGTTTGTTGAACACTTGGCGCCTGCTGTAATCGCATGGCCCTCGCAAGCGTCTCAAGTAGCTGAAAAGGAAGTCCGCACGCCACTGGTCGTAGGACATGACTCCTTCAGGCGGCAGACGGTCTGATTGCACCAATGGAAGCCGATGCATCCTGTACCTTGTCTGCTTGTCAAGCAACGAAAAAGCATCAGCTTACCCTCCTTTCGCAACACCTGCATATAATCAACCTTCAAACATGCCTTCCAAATTGTGAAGCTTTAAACAAAATGCTCCGCATTGAGCGTGCGCAAGGATGGCACCAAGGCTTCGCCCAGCAAGACGGCCTTCGCATACAAAGCATTTTGCTAACGCGATGAACCTGTCTGTAGTAAACCCTCGAGCCCAGCCCGTTCGACGTGAAAAACATTACTGTACCCAGCCCTGAAAGGTTGAAGAACAATTTTCGAAGCTGGTCCTCCTTTGCGGTGCCGTGGTTTGTGGGCGACGGCGGCTCGTCCAATCGTGGTGGGTACCAAAAAACCTTCAGGGGCCCTCGCAAATAATTAAAAAAACCTGCGTTACCTGCGTTGCGCAACCCTTCGCCTAAAAACATCCCCTTATTGGAATCCCACCTGGAAAATTATTGCTGGCCATGCATCTTCTTGGGCATGTTTCTCTCCACAGTGTGTCAGTGGCAGGCTCTCGCCAATTTTTCGGGTGCGCACTGGACGGGGACTCGAGGCAGGAGTCGTAGCGAGCTTGGCCAAGGGCGACACCATGTTACTGTAGTTGCGGTAGGCGTGTGAAATCCGCTGCATTGACAACTTCCAAAGCTGGTTAGTCTTATCGCTGGCGCTATAACAACTGCCATGAAAGCGACACACAAAATTGTTCAGGGACTGCCATCTGATCCTGTTACTGAGCCAAATGACCCTTCTTGACTTGTGTTCGAGCAAATCAAATGCACGCTGCTGCCAACACACCTGCAAGTTCACGCTGCCGTGCCTCCATCCAGCGCCTGTTTCTTGACAACGCCGCCTCGCGATGTTAAATCGCCCGCCTCAAACGAACAGCTGAAAAGCCCCATGTTCCGACTTTTTCTGCCAATCAGTAAGCCCACCACTCGTGTGTCGCGATGGAGCTGCAACACGCATGGCTTTTCCTGGAGACCCAGGTCTTTTTTTTTTTCCCAGGTCTTGCACCAAAAGAAAAACGGTGTACCTGTTGCAGCCAAGCATGAACTGAGATGCCGGCGCCGGTTGCCAGGGCGAGCTCTTCTGCCAATAACGACTTGGCAACCCCAGGCCTAGCATCGTCTATGCGCATGTGAAAAGCATTAGCAGCACACCGTGGTGCAGAACCATCCACACTAGGGCATTCGCGGTCCAACCATCAACACATGCTCGTGGGCCTGAAATGACGGCATGGCGTGATATCGATACCCCGCCGAAGTCCCCAAGCAGCACTGAAGGATTGGCAAAGAAACCGGCATCCGAAACGCTTTAGCCACATGAAGGAAACAATAACAGGAAAGTAAACACACCGACACGGCATAACATCACAGTTGGTACGAGTACTTCCATACCTTTCTTCCTCGCACCTTTTCGCAACCAGCAACGTGATGTCCTTCGGCCGGGCCTCTCGGATACGTGGCTTGGCGTTTCCTGCGCGCGGCGTCCGCCGCCGCTTTGCCTGGCGCGCCCCGCCTTCACGGCAGACCCTGGCGGCTGCTTTCTCTAGAGGCACGCCACGCGGGCCCAACACGCCCGCAGTGGGGCACGCAGCCCTGTGATCCCCTAAAGCGTCCAAAGTCCCGCCACAGCGACAACGTGCCGGTGTATGGGGCAACGGGAGGCGCAATCGCCGAAGCAACAGGACGCGCATGCAGTCGGAGGGCATGCGGAACTCCGGGGCGGTAGGAAGCACGGTGAGGGCGCGGGATCCGCCAGGGCCCGCCTGGGACAGCAGCAGCGCGCGTGAAGCCCGGTCAAGGTCAAAAAGGAGGCTGTCGCACGCTGCGGCATCCAGACAGGCCGTGGCCGCCCGTTGCCAACCGTGAAGAGGGTCACCAAAGCTGCGAGCCGCCTGGCCCTGGGGGCGGCGGTCATCCAGCAACTGAGGCCAGGACGGCGCATCAAACCCCGCCTGTCGCAAACAAGACTCCGCGTGCAGCGCCGCAGATACACTTGGCGCAATGCTGCCAGTCCGTGCTTCCGAGCGGGAGGCTTCAGCCTGGCGGAGCAAGTCCGCCACAATGCCTGGGTGCCGGTCGCGGAGGGTAGGGAGCGTGTCAGCCCAAGAAGCCCAATGCGCCGCGAAGCGCGTGGTCTCGGCGGAGCGAAAGCCCAGACCGCCCAGCTGCAGCGGAAGCTGAGCCCGGCGAGTGGCATTGACCTCCCACATCGGCGGCCCGTCATTAGCCAGCAACTCCTGCAAGCATGCGAGGACCGCCTCATCGTGCTGACGGGCGAAGGCTGCAGTGTAGCCGGGCGGGAGAGCGCGGAGTAAGTAATGGCAGCGGGGAGCTGCGCACATGAGGAGCAACAACCACGCAACCTGCAGATCCGGGACAGAGAGGAGCTTGGACAAAAGCATCTTGTGGGCATCCAGTTTGGATTGTAGGTGGGCCGCTAGCTACAAACGCGTGGCTCCCGAGCGGTGTGCCCAGCACCACCATGCCTTGCTGTTCGGGCGGGAGAGTCCAATCGACCACCCACGAGGGCGGGCGGTCCGGGTCAGCAGGCACCTCGTCCGCAAAGCCTGCCGGCTCGACGCCCCCTGAATTCCAAACCCTCGTTTTACCCAAGTGCACATCGATGTTGGCATGTGCAGCCAGAGCGTCACGCAAGGCCCTGAATGTGGGGGCGGCGCGGTCTGCAGTGGGGCAGGATATGTACGTGTCATGTCCTTGCCTACACGTTTGTGCCGACACTCAGATTTCGTGGCTGCTGCTTATGCACTCAGCAGCCACGCAACCCACCCTCGCCCCCTGACGTGCCGGACGTGATGAGCCCGTTTCCATGCGGGCACGATGCTCGTGTGCTAGCAAACAACGAGCGAAATGTTCTTTGCCACGAGTTATGCTGACGTCACCTTGCCTGGCCTGGCATCTGCTGTTACGTGTGTTGCTAAGTGGCCTTCGTTGCGCCAGCAGTCGAAGAAAGCTGAGGGTGCCCATCTCGGCGTTTGGGGCTAACGATCGTTGTGTTAACGACGATCTGTGCGCCCTGCCAAATGGAACAAATGGGGAGGCCGTTGGCCACCACATCGATCCGGCGCCCGTCGGCCGCAGGCACGCGAGCGACCTGTGCGGCGACTCGGGCGCCTGCTTCCCGACAGTTAGGAGCCGCCACTTGCTCAAGGGGCCAGCTTTCCGGGGAAGCTCACCAACTTGCGCGCATGCGGAGCGGTGGTCCCCATAGACGTCCAAGCCTCCACCACAACCAAGTACCACGAGGCGCTGCGGACCGGCCTGCTGCAGTTCAGGGTATGTGGCCTACTGGCACTCTACTGGCGGCGTTCGGCGGCGGCCAGCGCTGCCCCGTTTTGCTCGGCAGCTCGGCCTTGCAGCTGCCCGTTGCGGGACAGGGGAGATACCAGTGTCGCATCGCAACACAACGCACGGCCCGAGTGGGTGCCGGCGTTAGCCACTGTTGTGCCGGGCTTGGATGGCCAGCAAGGGGCGGCGCCGTGCGGAGCGCGTGATTGGAGAGGGGCGACGCGCACAGCAGCAGCGACCAAGCACGCTTGCAGGTCCGGGAGGGCGGCGTTCGTTCGCCTATGCTTGGACGCACGCGTCCCCACGCCACACGTGAGGACGTCGAGATCATGCTCCCATTGGACCACCTCTCTGCATGAGCCTGCTTGGCGCACATAAAAAACCGGACTGCAAAGCCGGGTTAAACACTGGAGGTGGAGGCGCTGCTCGAGCTAGAGGTAAAACTGGAACTGGAGCTGTAAAGCTTGATAGGCAAACCCAACGCCGCAACAACGCCAACGTTTCTCGTTCGCCCAACGCCTCCTGGACGGTGGCTGAGGCAGGGTCATGCCCCAAAGGGGTGGGTGCACCACGGTGTTTGTGGGGAGGGATTCCACTGTGGAGGAAGCGCGTGCGCCGTCCTCTGTATCAAGCTGTTGCAAGGTACGGTACGCAATGCTTGCACCAGTGCGGCTGGCACAAAAAAGATGCAGCCCTCCACCCCTCCGTGCTTGCTGCCGGGTAGACACAGATCCACATGCCCGCGCAGGGGATTCACCACGCAGAATTGGCCAGCAGAGGCAACGAGCCAACTGGTTGCTGAAGAATTCGCTGGGAGGGATTGGCGGCCACAAACCCAGCCGTGATGTAACCCACACAAATTGAAGACAAAAAATGGCCGGAGCGAAGCCAAAGGGCAACGCCCTATTGTCCGGAAGTCTACGGAGGCTAGCGAGCCAGGCGCAACATTTTACTCTCGGCGGGAGCGGCAAGCGGCGGGACCAATGTTAGAACCTGCTCCTCCTCAGCCCCTATTCGCGTAATGCAGGTGCGTAAGCCATGATGCGTGGGCCGCTTCCGGACATGGACATTGACATGGACACGGTCATGGACATGGAGATTAACAACGACATTCACATCGACATCGACATGGGCTGCCTAAGGGCTTTCAGGCCTGACTTGACTTGACTTGACTTGACATTCACATCGACATCGACATCGACATCGACATTGACGTTGACATTGGCGTTGACCTTGACCTTGACCTTGACCTTGACCTTGACCTTGACCTTGACCTTGACCTTGACCTTGACCTTGACATTGACATTGACATTGACATTAACCGTTACCTTGACATTGAGATCAGGCCTGAAAGCCGAGTCGAGTCGAGACCTGATCGCCCGAAGGCGTCCCTTTAGGGTACAGGTGAAACATCTTATAGGCACCTTTTATGCAGATTCCTGCTCCATCACATCACCGTATTATTGCGGGCTCAGGTAACAGGCTACCAAGCACCACGCCATTATTCTTTGCTCTTACGTATCTCCAGCTGGGGGAATGATTCGCCGCATGCCCAGCACCCAGATCCATACGCGAGTTCGGAAGGCTGCGGTACTTGTTTTGCTGGAGCAGATCCGCGCCAGACATCCTGAACAAGCTCCCAATCATCAGCAAATCAAGAAAAGCCGGTTGTTCGTTTGGCTCACTTGGCGGTTATCGTTGTGTCATCATTGCATTGCAGACGCGAGAGCTCCGCAATCGGCGTTGTATCGGAACGACGTTGCTCTTGTCAACGACAAACGGTCGGACAAAGGCATTGTTGGCAGAAGCCACCCTCCGGATCTCCTAGCGCAATTTTAAAACCAGTTGGAGCTCCGGAAGTTGCAGCATGCAGCGTTTTCCTCCCTGATGCCTCAGCTTGGTTGTCCAAGCTCGTGCTGCTGCCACAACGTATGCAGACGAAGCCAAGGCTGCGAGGGACAGAGGGGCCGCGCTGTTCAAGGGAGAGTTGCACGTCTCTGGCTGGAAACGGCTGATGTTCCCTCCGATCAAACTCCCGTGCGTCACCAAAATCAGCGGACCCAGCGAGACCATGACAGAGACACATCAAGCTCCACACCACTGGCCGCCCTGACGTCCGCAAAGTTATCCAAGCCGTTGGGATCCTGGTGCCATACGCAAAAAAACCCCTGGGCAAGCTGCAAGGAGATGTAACCTCTGTGGCAATTGCCGCTGTAGCTTCGGGGTCCGCACCTCCTGGTGCAGGAGGACGGTGCCCGGAAGCAACAGCCAGGGTATGCCGCCAGTGGCGCACTGAGATGGGCTTGCTGGAAGCAAGCTTTTGATCCTCGAACATGAGACACACGTGCAAGGGGTTGTGAGTGAATGGGTGAATGACTGAGTGGGTGAGTGAGTGAGTGAGTGAGTGAATGAGTGCGTGTGTGCGTGTGTGCGCGAGTGATTGAAGGAGTCAGTCAGTCAGTCAGTCAGTGAGTGAGTGAGTGAGTGAATGAGTGAGTGAGTGAGTGAGCATGTTTGCCGCCGAGCGATTGCAGACGTTCCCATGCTTGGCAAGATTTTAACATAAACAGTTGGACATGGAATGATTTTCGATTGCAACAGGGGTGGACCACCTTTGTGCATGGTCGAAGTGATGGTGACTTCAACTCGCACAGTGGCAAACTGGCAAGTCCACGCATCATGTTGGATTTTTTGCACGCTGTTGTTCAGAAAACGAATGTGCAACGAAAATGCTATGTTCTTGTGCTGATGATTTGGAAGCCCTGTTTGAGGGCAACCTGCTTGAACCATGTACTCCGGACGATTTGATCTTCAGCACGCAATTCGTCGCTTGAAAACGTGCAAAGCGGCAGGTGACCATGGTTTGTTGAATTGTTGATACTGCCTGGCGATTCCAAATTGCCTGCAAATGTTCTGGCCGTAATGCCGTAGTCGGGACTAGACTGCGCGGCACGTTCCTGAGAGGCGCTGAAAATGAATCCTTTCCTTGCGGAAAGCTTGCAAAGCCATACGCACGTAACCGCGGCATCGAAACAACGTCCCCCAAGAGTCCCAAAAGCTTCACAACAAAAGGCGCCTTTGAACTTCTCGGACCAAACCCACGGAGAAGAGGGGGCGCATGTTGGTGCAGCCACAGAGCTCCGCAAGCAACAGACGTCAGAGTCTGGAAAATTTCGCGGCTCAGCCGAATGGGGCTGTGCAGGTACGACTGCCACAGTTTTCGTTCGCCAAATTGCGTCGCAAGTGACGACACGATAAACCAACCCCAACTCCCGCGCGCGGGCCAACACGACAAACCAACCCCGACTCCCGCGCATGGGCCAACTCAAGACACGAATCTTCCAGCCCAACCGCAGATGCCGACTTGTGACATTGCCAAATATCAACCCTGACGCGTGCGTTCTCGCAGACTTGTGGGACGTCACAAAGATGCCAGGCGGGCAAGGTACTATGCGAGATCGCAGCAGCATCGCCTGGACGGAAACTTTCGAGCAGCCGGACCTTACACCATCAAACCGCACGTCCCGGCAAACGTACATCGGTCAAGCCAGGTCACGGATCCTTCTACCCCTGGCTGCAACCTGTTTGCGACCTGTTTTCAACCAGCTTGCAACCTGTTTCCAAAGCTACCTATGACCTCCTATGACCATACACCGGCCTGACTCAAACTCCAGACTCCAAATTCTTGTGCATCAGAAAGAAGGAAAGAAAGACAATAAGCACTGTTGTGCATACTCAACACAGTTCTTGGAAATTCCACTGCCCACATGCTTGCATCAAAGGGATATTGGCACTACTTTCGTTTCCTCTGAGGCTACCGCTAGCAGGGCAAGCACCTTTGGCAGTATTCAGGTGCATTCACGCATCTGCAAGTTGGGACAATAGCTGTCACGGACTACTTCTACAAGATCCATCATAACGGTTGCTAAGGCGATCACCAAGGCTTGCTTGGCATTGTTGTGCCCCACAATGCGAGCATCCAGCCCTTCCAAAACCATGCATTAGAGGTCCACAAGCACTTGGTCATGCTGAGCCCCCGCACGTCCGCGTAATCGCTGTACCCCAGCGGCAACAGCAGCGACCTTGCGAAGAGACAAGTATCCGCAATCCTCGGCACTCATGTGCCTTCCTGATATGCTGCAAGACCTAACCCGAGGTTTCGGTCGTCATTATTGTCATTCCGCGGCGCGAAAGCTTCGAAACTCGCCCGTCAAGATATCCCACGTCGATAGAAACGAATGAAAAGAAAAGTTGCTCCATGAAGGGGCCTGCGAAGACAAAGCGCGTGAATGAGAGTGGCATCGGAACGCTTGGGCCTTGGAGGGCCGGCAAATAAGCCAACCAGAGGACTAAAAGATAAGGGTTTGGGGCTTCGGGTTTCCGTGGGAGTAAAAAGGACAAGCTATAGTATGGGCTATGAGTTGTTCTTGAGGTAGCGTTTTGAAAAAAACAAAAAAAAAAAAGGAGTATTTAAAACAAAAACAGCAGGCTGCAAGCGTGCGCCGCGTCGTACAGTTTAGGATTTTTGGACTCAGCAGGCTGCAATGGAAGCTCCGCACCTCTGGTTTATCCAAGGGTTGCGCCAACCTCACCGAACGCATGCGCATGGCCAAAACCAGAACATGTCGAGCATCAGTGTGGTCGTTCGCTCTAACGGTCAACTGCTTGAGCTTCCCGATTGCTAGATGCTCACATGGACAATCTTGCTTTGATCCAGCGGGGCTTAACTTGCGAAAGCCTTTTTGGGAGGGGGAATACGATATTCAATTCTTCGTGGGTGCACTTGGGCCGAAACGCCACGGCTCAGGTTGCTGAACTCGTGCTTTCTGCACGCTGCCCGCGGCCCGCTGGATGGGGTTTACATAGTATGCAGGGCCTTGGGACCTTGTCTGCATATTACATATTATCTTGAAAGAAAAGAGGATCATATCGGCATATCGTACGGAACCGGTCGGGCAAAATATGCGCGATTGCAAACCAAGAACGAAAGTGATGGAGGGCACAACATGTCGCGAGAACTTCCACCCACACGCTTTGGCCCCAAAAGCGCATTGCTACACCTTAATGACCAGGAGGGTCACCGCCGACCCCGTTTGGCTTGGATACTTTTGTTAGAGGGTGTTTCCAAGCTGCTTGTGTGATCGTGGACGCCCCCGTTTGTGGGCACAGACCAATGTAGGGTGTGACGAACTCCGTTTCGTAGTCTCACGGTAGAAAAGTTGCGTTTGCTTTCATGACCCTTCAGGATGGGCAATGGAGTGAGGTGGTTGTTCCCGTTTGAACGTAAAAATCGCCAAGCTGCGTGAAATCCTTTGGGGACGAATATCTATAGATTTAGGAGGCATGTGCTGGGCACAGATGTCGTGTGTTTATCACGCGGTGCAGAACTGAGAGCCCTGATAAGAAAAGATTGTGGAGCGGAGAGCAGCGGCTAGCACAACGTAATCATGGGCTGTCCATTGGTCTACATCCTCAAAAATGGTTTCGACTCCTTCTTTGAAGTTGCTGGCATGCGAAATGGGAACTCCAAAAAAGTTTGTGGAGAAGCACACAGAGAAAGCGTGACGACTGCATACCCGAGGTCATCATCGTCAATAAGGACACGTTTACTGACCACCGCGGGGCCGATGTGCTGCTGGGAGGGCTCCATTGACGAGTCGAAACGGGATGTAAAATCGCACACGAGGAAGATATGTGAAAAATCATCTTTGCTCAGGAAGGTAGCTTGCAGCTCGCTCCAAAGTCGTCTTTTGGGCTCTCTGTTCTCAGCAACATCAGTAATTGAATAGGAGCGTACGCAGGCGGAGTGTGGTGTGAGTGAAGTAACATATGGAAAATAGTCGGGAAAACCACTGCAATTGAACACAAGCATTGAAATACAATGAATCCATTTAAGCCATGTAGTGATACGGAACTGCTTTGAAACGAAACTCCTTTTCTTTACAAAGGGCTTGCCAACGGTCAGCATACACATGAAAGTGAAACATGTTGTTTATCCCAGTGGTCTTTTTCTTGGCCCCAGCATGTCTTTTCTTGACCCTGCCATCTTGTTTTGTTTGGAAACGGGGCCGGGAAAACTTTAATCTTGTTTCAACCACAGTTCGGGGCCAAGAAAATGACAGGCTCGCTCAGGGTTTCTTTTTGTTCTTAACCCTCAGAATGTTTTTTTCTTCACCCCCCCAGCCTTTTCATCTTTAAACATCTCTTTTACGGCTCCGATCTTTTTCTCAACCCGGTAACCGGGGTTCAAAAGAAGATCTTTGGTTTTTTTCAGCTCCCATTGAAAATCTGTTTCCAAACCCCAAAATGTATTTGTTCCAAGTTCCAACCCCAAATCATTTTCATACCACCAACTATCCTTTATGCGACTACGCAGAAAGTGTACGGGCAAAATAGTATAATCATATGCCCGTACTAGTATTCAAACATCCAACAAACTAGAATAAAATCTTTTTCGCTGGTGAACCGAAGATAGGAAGCGAGCCCGGATGCATTAGTAGAAAGCCCAAAAGAAGATGTCATTGAGGCAGTTTCCTTTGCACGAAGTGAATTAATCCTTTGGGCCGCATAGCGTGCCACATGTGCGCCGTCATCATCATGAGTGAGCAAAAGACCACTGTTCATAGAGTTCTTTGGTCACAAGTTAATATTCATTTCACGCACATGGCCGAGCGCACGTGGACAGCGCGCACGCACAACCACGAAACTCACTTCTCTCTCTGCCTTGCCACGGTTGGGCACACTCAAACAATTCCATGCTTTTCCACATGTTTTCATCTCCGACTCTTGCACCAACAATTGCGGTACGTGAACGATTTTGTTCCCACTTCGCTTGGGTCGTATGTGATGTACTTGTCCCAGTCATATCTCGCTGGACATCCATTTGCCAGAAAAAACCAGCCTTCATTCCACTTGCTTTTCCAACTATCTTTCAGCGATTCTTCACTTCGAGTTTCGGGTTTTTAGCTTTTCACCGTCTTGCTGTCCTTCAGCTGCTCTGTATATCCTCATCTCTGTGACGGTCGAATTCTTGTGGAATCGGATAGGTGTCTTCTCTAAGTCAATTCCCCAGCCACATTTCCATAACTTTCCAACGGCAAACAACGGTTGTGTCACTTCTCCAGAGTCTAACCGGTCGTCAAGGACAAATCACGGACCCGCATTGGCAAAGGGACGGGACAGGTCAAACCCCAAGGAGAGGAAAGACGTGCGTATGCCCCATGGTGGTCAGCCAGTGGGGACTTAACAGAAAGAACAATCAAGGCAAGACCGGCCCAGGGCACTCCATGGTGGTCAGCCAGTGGAGCAGCCCCGAGCGGAAGGTTGGTGCACGTT